CCCTGAGGAATGGGTCCCCGCCGCCTGGCCATCCTCACGAATATTCATGTTCTTCCTGGCTGCTTCTGCGGGATAGACGTCCTGTGCGCGCTGATGTCCTGAGAAAGAAAAACTGTGAGTGTTCTGTTGGTAAGACTGAAAACTGGTTCTCAACCCTTATTATGTGTCTGGTAGGCTAAAGTACATACCTTATGTCTCTTGACACTTTACATAGGTGGGTATACATATAGGGTGACCATGGCGATGCTGACGCTGATCCTGATCCTGGTTCTGATCCTGATGGTCCTCGCTGCTACTGGGTTGGACCCACGGAACTGCACAATAAGAATTAAGTTTCATAACCGGGAAGGGACAATGTACCGAAATTGCGTTACAAACGAGGGTCTGGATTTATACTACGTCAAACGGTCCCGAACCCGGGGACATGTGTTTCCAACTTGTTAGAAGGGAATAATTACCTTTTGTACGCGGAGAAGGAGAAAAAGAAAGACCGGGGAGCAAACGCGAACGTCGTGCATGAGAAATAATACGCTGGCCAGATTTGTGATAGGGTGGTTTCCTTGAAGGGGGATGAATAATCAAAAATATTTATAAAAATTTTTTCCAAATTTATCATTTTTTTTTTTTTTAATTATTATTGACATTTTCAAAATTCTATTTTATGACATTCCCTGTTTATGGGAATAACTGTGCTAATGTCGATTTATCTTTTTTCTTTCTTTTGTCAATATTTTCAAAATTCTATTTTACCTTGATCAGATTGTTCTCTATGGGAATAATTGTGTAATTATTGATCTTCTTTGGTTGCGCACGGGGGTAGCTACCCTCGATTGCCCATAAGATTGTCAGTATGAGGCTAATACCAGCCAATAGTAATTGTGGCGACGGCGGTGACGCCCGGCAGAGCCTGTGAAAGCGATCGGGGGACACTTGTGACGCATCTGCACCGATCATCCCTGCGACAGGGGGGCTTCCCCTCCGGGGAGGGTTTAGGTATAGAGTCTGATCCCCCTTCTGTAAGGGAATAGAAGCCACGGGAGCAATGAATGACATAATTGAATTTCACGCGACAGTGAACTATGCTGGGCTGTTGTGCGTAAGCCAACCCAGGGCCAAAACCCCAGCGTGCAATTTTCAAGAGAAAATTCCATAACGTCCTCGCGACCCAAAAAAAGTCAAAAATAGGGGTAGGTCGAGGGGGTTGGGAGAAAATAAAGAAAAAAAAAAAAAGTACAAGGAATTTCGACGACAAAAAAAAAACCCCAAGGAAAAGGGGCACGTACCGAAAATAGAAATGTGACCAAAGGATAAAAATAAGGGTAGGTAAAAACCTCCCTTGCATTGCTCCATATATACACTGACTTTCCTTACCCAATTTTCTCTCTCACTCTCGATACCATTTCATCCCCCAATCGAAAGAGTAGCTCGTACAACGGATTCCGGCCTGACCAAGTAGCCGCTAAATCCATAGAACATTTTTCACCCCTAACGTCATACTGCCTCTAGTACATTACCCTCCTTTTACCACCCTTATACCACTGGCTCCACCGTACCAACTCGACGGACATGTAACGCACCCCTTTTTGACCAGTCTCGCACAACAATCACCGGCTGAAACTAAAACTGGGAATTAGCATGAGAATGACTAGATTAGGGGAGGGTGTGGCTGCATACGAGTACACGCATTCATGTGTAGCTCGGTATGGATTTTTGAAAAAAAAAAAAAAAAAAAAAATTTCAAATTTTTTTTCAAAATTTTTTATCAAAACCATAAGGTATCGGGACCCTGCGTTCGTCTCTTCGCTTGCCCTGAGAATAATAATTTTCTTACGTAAAATGGTGGGGGATGAATTTATTCGACACCAACGACCCATCCAGGCCTGACAACCTCGAGTAAAGAAAATTATGCGCGCTACCCGGAATAAGATCCAAAATATATATATATATATATGCACGTACAAGCTGAAAAATAAAGAGGGTTCGCGTGCCGCTCTTACCGTACGAATTTATTTCCTTCTAAGCGTCAGCAGTAATAGTACCTGTCACCGGCACGCGATTTGCATGTCTTCTTAACCTCGAGTGCTTCTCGAACAGTGATACCTGCGCCGGAAGCCTCGAGCCTCGGAAGCCCGAGCGCCGAACCCGTGCCGCGAATCCATCTTCAGGGGGAGCCCCGTAAGGTATTAAAGCCAAATGCTAATTTTCATTTGCGCCATACCGCCATGGGGTGGAACTGACTCTGATCAAGGGGTGGATCGAGGGAAAACATTTCTAAGCGAGTTATATTATCCTCCTGATGATATTCCGTGTAAGGACACTTCGGCGAGGATCAGGATTTAAAGGATTGCCTAGGGAATTATTTTTTCACCCTATATGGTGACAAGGGATTTTTATTATTTTTTTTTATTTTTTTTTTTTTTTTCTTAGAATTCAATACAAGTATGTATTACAGGGTTGCGCGTTCTTCTGGATATTTTATTTCTAAGCAAAGCCAACTGGATGGACCCAATAAAGTGTATGGGGGTATAATAATAATAGTGTGCCAAAGAGATTTTTTTTTTCCCCCACACAATGGACGCTCGAGAAAAATAGATTTGGGGGCTCGCGATATTGGACAATGGTAAGGGATCCAAGTGGCTACATGTTGCACTGCTTGTGTACAAATGGCCGGATGTGTGTTCAATGGATCGAAAGGAGTTGCCGGTCGATCGACCTTGAAAAATATTTCCTTCCTATAATACCTACTCGGTGCACGATACGCGTAAGGGGGCTGGGATAAAGAAGATTTTTCCACGCATGTATTATAATGGTATTATCTTCTTTTTTTTTTTCAAGAACAAATTTTTCAATGCAGAATTTTTCATTGTTAATTTTTTTTTTCACTTGGGAGACTTCCGGTTTGGAATTTTATAAAAGAAATTTCGTGGATGTGCCTCTACCGTAGGTCGATTTCATAAATTTCTGTAAAACGGGATTCGACTTATTACCGTAATTAGAATATATTCGCTGGTCCGAAAGGTCCTGACCTTGAAACTACAAGTGACCGTAAAATTTAGGGACACCCCCCCAAAAACTCAACTTCCATATATCCCACTAGCTAACTTTCATCCCTTTCATCCCCCGGTCTTTTGTGCATCTTAACACCCTCCTGTTACATCCCTGCTTTCTTTCTTGATTTTACAAAAATTTTCACCAACAGTCCCGACCTTACGGCTGTAGAGCCCTAAACGATGCTTTCAGGTTATAAAGGTCCCAGGACCGTCAATTTCGGGTGGCCTAAGTGGGGACCCCCAATAAAAATCTTCGCATGCATTTTATCTCTCAATATACCTTAAGTGGGACTTATGCATTTGTTGACTTTTTGACTTTTCACCCTCCGCGCATACCCTCCTGACCATACTGGCGTCGCTCTACCGCCATTACTTCACTTAGGACCAGGTCTCCCCAAGAGCACCAACAAAACTCACAATAAAGTGCCCGGCCATTAATGCCCAGGTAGATACGAAGACAGGGCAAAGACGGAATAGTGCTAGAAAACAAAAAAAAAGAAACAACGAACACGAAGATAAGAGAAAATATTATAATATTAAAAAAAAAGGGGACTCCAATATAAATACAAGGGTGTGAATGCATTCTTGGGTGTACGTAATGGCGGCCACGGAAACGTCGTTCCTCTCAGGTAATATTGCGCTTACCCTCTCCGGAGGTTATAGTGGGAGAAAATGGCTGTAATTAGCGAACTAACGGTGACCGTGCTCAAGACAAACCCCTACGAGTAGTAAGCCCCCCCAGAGTGAACCTTCCAGCATGACAAACGCTACCACCACTTCCGCAACCACCTTTGGCCTTTCACTTGTAACCTCAATCCCCTCCGGCCCCCGCCAGAGACCCCTTCCCAAAGGCCTTTACCGGCGTTTCTGCCTTTTTCTTATGGCTTTGGTACCTTTTTTTTCCGGGAGGGCCGGGGTCTCGTTGCAAACATACAAAGTAGGTTGGTGTATATCTATATATAATTCCAGGAGCGGATGCGGTCAAAGAGTCGCGTGCTACCCCGAGGAGAGGGAGGCCGTAACCCGAGCCGGACGGCCGGAACCACGGCGGGAGGAAATTTCCCCCCACTTCCCGGCCCCAGTCGGCGTCGACTCTCATTTAATTAATTACACGTGCTTTGTGCTCTTGCACAAGATTTTTGCGCCTTTGAGCCGTTTGCGGCCGAGCCGCTGCGTTTGTCGCTCTGCGAATCGGCTCGAACGCGTTTCTCTGTCTCTCTCTGTATTTATTTGCACTTCGATGTTTGACGGTGTTGACTCGCGGATATACGAATGACGGTTGTCGAGCTTGCAGGTCTGGCAAAAGTCAGAGAAAGCCATAGGGTTACCGGTAGAGTCGAAGAGGACTAGCGGTGAACAGAGGGTAGGAGAAAGAAAGGGGAAAAAAATGAAAAATAAAAGAAAGAGGAATAGAGGGTTACGACTGGCTGCCAGTAGGTAGGGTACTGCTGACGGGAGGAGTGCTGCTGCTTTTCTACTTGTTCTCTCTCTGATTTAGCAAAGTTAGGGTAGGTGGCGTAATATGAGGTCGGCAGGAAGCGTAGGTAACGTAGGTGGGTACTTAGCTATCGTCAGCACCTTTTTTCAATGCCAATTAGCGCCGCGGCCTCGGCATCAGCCGTAAGCCGGTTAGTGCGACTCCACTGCGGCCATTCAGCCTACATATTTTCGCACTGTGCGTCACTTTGTCCCTGGCAAAATGACGAATTAGACGACGAGGGCGAGAAACGCCCCGACGAACGGGCGAACGCCACCGCAATTCGCGAGGCGACTGCGAAAAACTCGGAGCGAATGAGAAAGTGTAAGTGAGCGAGAGTCTCGCTCTCTGAATACTAATATAAGCGTTAAACGTGTCGGGAAGCGTGCTGGCAGAGGAGAGACGAGAGAGCATCGAGAGAGCCGCCGTTATGCCCAACGTAATTGGCGTAGAGGCTTTGAAGTCTACGTTTTCCGAGCTTCTTTATCCGCGGGTGTCGAATGAACGTCGTGTATTAAATTACCACTTGTCAATTTCGTGAAATAATTATTTATACGGAATATACATGTAATGAAGTTTCGTTACCTGACGATGAAAGGTAACCTCTGGCATAATGTGCAAATGTGTCCGAGAAAAATGTGTACTGTGTAGAATCGCTCGATGTGCCACCTAGCGGTTAGAATAGGTACTAACGTAACGTCTAACGTAGAAGGAAAAGGAAAGGAAAAAACAAAGTCGGTAAGGCGAGTTGAAGACGGGACTTACCTCTCTCTGTGAGCATTTTTTACCGAGAAAGGAACCCTCTGCCCGAAGCTTCATAAAGAAAGGGTTGTCACGAGTGGAGGTGGGCGCTCGCGATGGACACACGGTGGCTGCACGTACTCTTGTGATCTCACGTCACGCTGAAACTCTTCTAGGCTGACACCTCGCGATCCTTAGGCTGTCTTTATATCAGTTCGCTCGCTGGCTCTAAAATCGTGCCGTGAAAGCATTTAATTAAAGCGAGCTACGCGACGGGCTGTTGGAAGAGGAAACTGGGCTCCGGGGACTAACGGCGGGTGTGAGTAGTTGCTGTAGGCGCCGCAAGGGTGCGAAACTGCGAACATTGTCTGTCGGCAAGAGGAGCAGGAGCTCCGAGGCATTTACTTAATTAGAGCCAGTTCGTTCCTTTTGCCTACCAACGCCTGCCAGCCTGTAACTGCATTTATGCACGAAACCCTTCTGCATCTCCTGCACCGAGAAAACGGAAGAGACAGAAAAATCGGATGTGAAAATGTGCAGCGACACTCGGAGAATAGGTGAGACAGGTTACGTGGCTTGGAGAAGTATGCTTCGTTAGGTTAGGAATTAGAGAATGTTTGAATACGCTCGAGCTTTCGATTTGTGTGGCCGGGGAAGTGAAGTAGTGAAAGAGAATAAGAAAGAGGTAAACACGAGGTGGAGGGAGGAACGAGAACGTAGTGACACCTGGTGACAATTCCTTCAGGGCTGTCGGCATTATCTCGCTGCCACAATGCCCAAAACATGGCTTCGTTCGAAGTCTCTACGAGATCCTCGAGAATTCTCGTTTACTTCCTCCGTCCTGGGACTTGTCCCTTTCCCTTGGGATAATGTCCTTTTATTCTTTCACGAAACGGGATTCCTAGCCATTGTACAAGGTGACAGTTTCCACGGGCTAGCCTGTCGATGCTCGCCAATACGTTTTGAAGACTTGGGATAAACGTCTACGGGAACCGACCTACCTGATCGGTATTGTTCTTATTTATTTTTTGAATGAACTTTGTTTCCTCAAAAAAGGTCTACCGGAACCATCCGTTATGGTATGTCCAGTTTTATCTTTGAGTTCCGGTTGCGTGCTTCCACCTACTAACGCTTTATACGCCTTTCCAGGAAATTCCTCTTTTCACGGGTTAAAAACGAAACGTAGCTGTATCGTAGTGGCTGTTGGAATCTTTGGACCTTATTATGGGACCTTTCGACACGCCAGGAAACCACCATTAACGCCTCGACACGTAATACGTCACGGTTCAGTCTAGGTGTATGTATAATAACGCCGAGCGTAGCCTCTGGTATTTATTTAATTAATTTCCAATTTTTAACGTCTTAATAACCAGGTTCCCTTCTACGACCTAATAGACAATAGCCTGTTTCATGGATACCAACATGATGACCCATTGACGGTAGCCATTGTTACTCAGGTGTGAAAAGATCCGGCGATTAACCTTCGTTCGAAGTATCACGAACGAAGCGTAGCACCTTTGCAAGCTTTGTTCTTTTTTCTTTTTCTTTTTTTACACAAGAAATCACCGCCTTTCTATTCCTTCTAATTCATGCCTCGCGCTCTACTCTTTCTCTCTTCTTTATTTTCTTAGAAACAGCCCATAATAGACACAATCTTCTGGTGCTTACTTACAATACATATTCTACGTCTTTCTTGTCTCTAATTATTCTAATTCTTTCTTCAATCTTTCGTTTTTTTTATTCCTTTTTTTTTTTTAGTAACTGATACCAACCTTTATTTTTAACAGTTAATATTCTCTGTAACTTAAGGGGTTCGTATTGTCTATACGAAACAATCGAATATATTAATTCACTCAGTCTCGACAGTCGCTTCACGAATTCTCACAGCGTACTCATTGCTTTACTCTTTTATCCTTTGACACTCTCTTTCTCTTTCTCTCTCATTATTCTATCCTCTTCTCCTCGCACCTTCTTCCGCAACCACTCCTGCACGCACTAGACAATGCCCCTGGCCGTGCGCAGAGGCGCGATTTATCGAACGGAATTTTTATTATGCAACGCGGACTGTTGGCAACAATGAGTACACATTCCCCGTAGAAAAGAACGCGAACCGTCGGCCGTCATCATTCTGGACCACAATGAAAAACGCAAGGCCTCCGACATATTTTCAGGTGGAATTCCAAGAGCTGACGAGCTGCCGATAATCCACATTCTGAACAAACAGTAACAGAAATACAGATTACAACCTGTGTACCAATGGATTTAGTTTATTTAACTGCCATCACGTAAATATTTATTATATATATATATATATAATTTACCCCAGACAAGCATTAATAATTAAAAAAAGAATTGTCATTTTAATATAATACCTAAAAAAAATTTCTTGACCGCAGAGGAAGTTCCTGTCAACTTTTTGGAATATCATCTCAGGAATGCTGGACCACATCTTTTTGGGGAATATTCGTGGCAGAATCTTCAGATGCAAGTTTATCGGGAAGAGGGGCGAGGTAGGTATGGGAACGTCCAGATAGAATAAAAGAAAAGCAATAACCATACTGTGTAAAGGAAAAAGAAATATGGTTTCCTCAGGTTGAACAACGCAGCACGAACCTCCGGCTATAGGATCTTTGTTTCCTTCGGCGAATTAGATCGTTATTTCAGCGGCCGAGGCAAAACTGCAGCGCCCGACACATCTGACAAAGAAGTTATTAGCGTAGAGAATCGCATAACGCGAACCGTTTCTTCGGGCCGTTTCATGGCTGTCTCGTGCGAATATGATGAGTCAGTGAATGCAGTCCAGCAGGAAGGTAAAGCAAACTCCCAGATAAGAAGTTGACAAATGAAATTTTCCAGTAACTCAAAATTATCCAGGTACAAGATCAGTCGGATTTTACATATTTCTCTTTTCCTTTCATTCCGCTTGAAACTAACGTTCGATCCTTGAATTCCATTCGTAGGTCCGACGGATTCAACCACTGGGCCCGCACACGGTGCCTCATCCCTGGAAGTTCAGGTCCTCGTGGATTATTGTTACCCAGTAACTGGTGTTCCTAGTGCCGGTGTCCCCGCTCGCTGTTGAGGTCGCTGATGTTGTTGCCCTGGACGTTTTCCAAAATACTGATAGGGCCACTGAGTCCTGGGGGCGAGTTTGGAGGATGGATGGATTATTCGTCGGTTCGGTCGACGTTGTGGGGGAGCAGAAGGTTGCTGGTGGTACAAAAGCGCGAGGCCTCCGATCGACCAGTCATCTAGGTAACAATGCTACTGACAATGGGCAGCGGGCCAGCAGTGTTTCATTAAAACATGCATTGAATTCGGGGAGCGAGAGAGAGAGAGAAAGAGAAGGAAATTCAGAGATAGAGAGAGATAGAGAGAGAGAGAAAAGTAGAACCAGGACTAGAAATGGCAGTCAGAGTGAGTGAGTGAGTTACTGAAACGAGTAACACAGGAATAGTACGAATTGGCTGAAATCAAGAGAGACCAGAGGGAACCAGTCCAGTTCGGTCCATTCCGCTCCTGGTTCGACCGGGAGGTAATGTGGAGGATGGTTCATGTCTGATTGAAATGTCGAAAAGTCAGCAGCCCTTCTGTTCCCTTTAGAAAGTGGAAAGGGCCGTGCTCCTGGCATGGGTATGGGGACAGAGTGAGTGAGGTACGAGGTAGCGTGGGAGAGAGGAGATGGAGAGGAATGGCAAGAGTCCGGAGTCAGTTGGCGGGTTAAATTGGAATTGTCATGTGAGGGAGCGAGGCGAATCAAAAGAAAAACAACTTGTATAGGATTGAGTTTAATTGTACTCTCTTCTGCTACTCTATAACCCTCTGGCTCCGGTATTGCCTCTCATCTCATCTCATCTCATCTGATAGCATCTCTGCTTGTATGCTAGAGATTCTAACGGAGTTTGGCGAAGGCTAACGAAAGCGATGAAATCCAAGTGGACTCTGCTGATAGATGGGGAGACACTGGGGTATGGGGATGGTCTGTGGGTTTAGGGTGAGGATCAGGCTGGGCTCCTGAGGGACTACGTTGGATGGAGCGAACTCTCACCGATGTAGGAAAAGGGAGTAAACCAAAAGAGAAGCAGGGAGAAGTCCGGTCCGATAAACTGGTAATTAGAAAACGGTTGTTCAATCCCTTCTAGAAAGTTCGATTGAGGTCTGCCTTCTCTCTTTGTATACACTTCCTTCTCTGTCTTTCTCGCTCGCATTCTTATCACTGCATTTCACTCCTCGTGAAATCATGACAATACCCATGGACCAGGATCCTACGTAGGTACAATGCTGGAAATCACATAAATACAAGCATAATCATTGCGACTGCAAAGTTACATTTGATAGAAATATATTTGTCAGGCAAAAAAAATGCCCTGAGTACTAGAAAATCAATTTGTAATTGTAGAGACGTAAGAGGGCTGAATTATGTGAAGTAAAATTGAAGTAACATTTGTTCTACTATATCGGGTGAGTAAGAAGCTGGTAATCTTCTCTAGTGGTTCAGTTCTTACTAGGATAAAGAGGATGATCTGTCCCAGGTACAATGACGTAGTGTGGTACACTCGGTGTGCTGAAGCAATTTTGTTCTTGATTTTGCTATGTCGTCTTCCTGGTGCCGACAATCGGCAATAAGTCGCCCAGCTGAGATCCAATTTAAACCGTTAATTACCAGAGTCCTTTCTTTCGTTTTTAGCTACCATTGGACTTCCTGGTTCTCCTAGGAGTGGAGCACGGCTTTTCCTCTTCGACAACCGCCATTCTTCATCCTCCACCAGCAACCGCCAATCCCATCCAGATTCACCCTCGCTCGCCGCCCAGCAAGAGCACATTGTGACCAGTTCTTTTTTCAATTTAAAATACTATCTTTTTAATTTCCTACGTGTCACTTTTACGTCTGGGATTTTCACGAGAGCGATCCTATCGCTTGCACTGTTCCTGGCCGGGAGTAGAGACGATATGTCGCACCTTATCGATCGGCATTATCGCTCGCTTTTAACTTGCCAGGGAAATTGCATCGTACTCTCGTCATTTTCCAAATTTAATTTCACTCTCAAGTCTCCCTCTTTCTCTCTCTCATTCAGAAAAAAAAAATTCTATTTTCCCTACATCAACATTCAACAGATATCTCATTGACAGACATTTAAAATACACCCTGTAGATATCAAAATATTCAACTCTCCCCACCCTTGTAAATGGCATTAGATTTAATAAACACCCGTGTCAAATGTATATTAAATCCCATTCAATCGATTTGGGACACCGCTAATTACAATATGAATCAAAAGCTCATTTTATTATAAACGTACCATAGCTATACTAAATACCTTTTAAGAGCAGCAACACCGGTAGGAAATATCCAGCAGCCGATAGTGTCTGTCAATTGTCAGTGGGCGGATTTCGGTATTCGAAACGTGTGGAACGTAGGAAACGCAGCTAATCGGGTAGGCCAAGGTAGATGGGCAGGGAGGGAGAAGCAAATCCAAACGCAACGCAACGCAACGAAGCATCTGCCTGTAATCCGCATTGGAGCCGAGTGAAACCGCTTGTTGTTTCGCTGATCCCTGCTTTGTGACGCTCTTGTATTTTATTGTTCGGAACTGGGTCCATTGTCCCTCAAATCGTGTACACCGAGCGACCCGTACACCAGTTCACTCGTGTGCACGTAGAACGTGCACCGAATGCGTCGCATCCAATATATATATATTCCTTCTCTCTCCAGTCGATGGGCTTCCGCCATTGTCACATTAATCCGCAAAGGTACCGTCGGAACTGTTCTATGAATTGTGCATCCCCCCACCGACCTAGTCAAACCTTGAAAAATCTCATATACAATCTCTGTCTTTCACTTTTGTGCTTCTGATTTCATACCTAACCTCAACGACTCTGGCGCCCTCTACAAAAGATCGCTTACCAGGTGAATTCTAACCTAATCAAAATGGACAAGCCGCACGGTCGCAATCGAGCGCGGGACACTTTGGTACGTATTTTTCATAGTTTTCAATGATCGACCGAAACGTCAGAGTCTCCTCGAGTCTGGCTTCGGCTCGTACGACAGTCCCGAGAAGTGCATATACTTGAAATGTTCGTAGAGGTTAGGGACGCTCGTGCGCCAGTCTTTCGTGCACGTGTGTGCGAAAGAAGGCAACCTTGCCCCGTCCGTGCATAAACAAAATGGCCCATAAAACCTCGAGGCGCTAATCCGCGCAGAATGCCGCGCGAGGATATTGTCAAACCCTCCCGCGGACCCGTTCACTCCGCGGCAAGAGCAGCTGATTCATGCGGCCATATTTCACGTCTTTATGCATCTGCGAATATTTCAGGGCTTGCTTTCTGACCCCTTTACATTCTCAGTGATTATTCCCGGCTAGCTGCTTCTTCTTCCTTTGACTCATCCTCCTCCTCTCGCGCCTCTTCTTCCCTTGGACTTGTATTTCGGTATGTCTTAGAGATTTTTAGTTTATGGAATTTTTTTAACTATATATATATATATATATATATATATATATATATATATATATATGTATATTACTTTGCTTGCAGGAAGACGGAGTACAAGTATCCACTGTCGTATGGTATAAAACGATAAATTTATTTGTCAATGAAATTTCAATGATAAAGAAGAGGACAGGCAGAAGCAATCGATTCTAATGTAATTAACGCACCGGTGTAAAATTCGACATCTTCACGTGGCAACGTAACACAAGGAGCATCGATGTTTGAAGAGAGTTCACAAAGTTAAAGGAAATTAACATTTTTTTTTTTTCCCCCCAAAAGGGAAGTGACAGTACGGACACGAACCACATGGTAAAATCTCTCTCTAACAAAATCTATTTACCGTATAAAGCACGTATACTCATCGTCCACTTTTAATTGGTCTATCCCACAGGATACTTGGCATCCTAGATCATTTGGAGTCTTCGATCAGGCACACGCAACCCCCACGAACGGGCGCCGCATAATTTCATAATATTTCACAGAACGTACCCCGTAAAGCATGACGCAAGTCCTGAACCCAGCGGGACGTCCTTTCTTGGCGGATACTGCCGTGTTATCCGTGACTCGTTATGTTCCGATCGCGCGTAAACATAACTTTTGCCACGGTCCTGGGACCTTTGAACTCTGCAGGAGTCGGCCGCACAAGTCGGTCCAGGAAGATGATGAGGGACGAGTGGACGAGCATTAAGCATTATGAAGACTGGATATAAAGTCATATTATAAGGGCTGAGGTAATCTCTGAGAATATATGAAATATTGAATTGAATAGGTAAGGCAAGTATTGCCATAGAGAAAAGACATATAGATCTGTCTAATATTGAGATAAAAATGTATCTAGTGGTTAGAGGCAATTATGAGCCAGACCATAAGGACATGTGGCGCTCGTCAACATTCATGTTCATCGGTTCCAGTTGGTTCGCGTGGTTGGCAAACCTGGCTGACTGGTTGGCTCGGGCTGTCTCGTAAACCATTGACGTATAGTTAATACTGACCTCACACGTCCAGACGGAACGGCTCTCGAATCTCTGACATCTATAGTGATACTAAAGGTGATACTTGGGTCCTTATCTATTGTATAAACCTTTGCTCTTCATCTTCAGGATCCTTCCATCAGGCTGGAGCAACATTAGCATCGACATCGGCAACAGCGACTCCTTTTTTCCTCAAACGAAAATCTGTCCTTCGGAGTATAGACGGGTAAACATAAGACGGGAGCTCTTCTCGTCACTCCGCTAAGTGGAAGAATCATCGTACACAAGGAACGCGTTGCCTAGCCCAACGTTCTAATGGTCATTATCATTTACAAACAGCGACGTCTCCGTTCATCTTAACACAGGGATCCTGCCACGTGTTTACATAGGTACCTGAAATACTTGAGCTCATCTCACTGGTCGCAGTGCTTTGTAAACTTGACTCAACTTTGAGCCAGGACGTCTTCACGATTTTATCGTTACTTGAGGATTGATCGGTTGCTTTTTTTTTTATTTTTCCACAGATGGAGAGCGATACGAGTTTTTTCTTTCTTTCGAAATGGAGGTTTGGCAGTTTGAAAATTCAACCGGGTGACAGGGACCGTTCGAGACTTTTTGCGTGGCACGTATGCAAGCTGCTTGAAGGTATTTAAAAAAAATTTTTGAATAAGTAAACGTATGACAAAATATTTGAATTTTCGGTAGCAGACACATGTGGCTTTTATTTTTATTTTTTTTCTTTCTTTAACTTCCAGACTTCCTAAAGCCATATCCATGGACGGTCTTTAATAGAAGTGTAAACAAGGCAAGCATGGGCATAAAGATAAAGAGTGGTATAAGAGTTTAACGCCAGTGGATGCTGTGTATGTATACAGACGCAAATAGTGAGAGCTACCAGAAGACGAAGAAGTGGCTGGGGAAGAAGAAGGCTACTCGAGTAGCAAGTATCAAGAGGCACCTTCCTGCCTCCAGGAAATTGAAGGTGGACAGGAGGAGCGTGTGCTAGACGAAATTCTGTGAAAGGATCCAAGAGGTGTATATAGACACCGGACTGCCTGGATATACAGAAGGGCCCCACTTGGTTCCCTTGGATAACGAGTATTATCTTAAGACGTTTGTCAGTCGCAGGACCCAACGGGCCCCACTGGACCCACTGCCATATTTGTCCAATCAATTTAAGGCTCGTTTGTCGCCATGGGGGCTAGGAAAATGCTGGCAAACTTCCTTTCCACAGTTACACGAGACTTTATTTCATGGATTTGAGGTATTATTTATTTTGTTCTTTTATCAAATTAAGTTTGGGCTTGTAACTTTCTGGTGAATTTATATTTGACAGATCAGTATCCGAATATGGGAAATTATTCAATCGTCGACGAGATGCCGATACTGTCAATGGCTGACGCGTTACAGACGCGTTTGGATGTGAATTTTTCCACTGGCTTTGATCATACGCTCGATTAAGCACTGAAACTACACGAATTATCGCGCCCGCTGGCAAAGGACCAGTAGATGACGAACACATGGAAACTCGATTGGTATTTTATTCGTTTGAGGTTCGATCCGCGACTAACCTAACCTATACCTTGCTTCAAGCATTTATCCCTATAAAGGCCAACGAGCCTTCACAGCCGCATTACGCGATGCGCGATTTTTAGATAATCGCATCGTCCAATTAGCGTTAATTACCGTCTCTGTTAATTAGAGGCGTCTCTGCGAATAGAGACAATCGTTATTTTGAGATGCATCCGGGTGCCAACCAGTCAGCCCCCAGTCATCTGCCCAGCCAAACGAATCGACCCTTGTATTTCCCTTGGAAAGTCAGAAGAATTTTATATTCAAAGAATTTCATGTCATTTAATTAAAAAAAAATATATATATAAATCACCCCTCAAACCAAAATGGCGACTGCGCCGGTAAATAACTACAACTCTTGGCAAAACCAGTTTTACTTGTCACAAACGAAGGAAAAATCATCAAACGTATATGGAATATCACGAAGATGACGATTATTTTTGAGTAAACATAAAAATTCTAATTTTTCTCACTTTCGTAAATTTCTACTAATACCTGGCCGACAGTCTGAAGCGCAACAAGTGGTCCCGAGACGTTTGTTTCAAAAGGGCAACTTTCCTCGTCGCGATTCTCTGATACACAGCGCGGCCGTCCTATCGTAATGCGCCGATTATTACGACAAGTGTCAACCACTGCTTTGGTCCAATATGGCAATCATTTACAATCGAAATTGACGAGCAGTTTCTACTGTCACTTTTTTATACGACCGATTTGATCGAGCGATTGGAAAAGAGAAGTCTTGAAATTTTTTCGAGTTTTTCTATAAGTGCCACGAGTGCGAGAGAGACACGCTCATGGGGATTTACGTGCGTAAGAAAGAGACAGACATACCGTTTACTCCGATCGTGAACATACACACATCTCTTCGACGTGACCGTCTTACAAATGTATTTTTGATCGATCATAATTTTTATTTCTTTAACAATATCGACATAGAGCATCGCTTCGTAATTTATTTAATTTATACGGCACTTTCGGAATAGGACAAATCGTACATGACTAACACGTAAAATTAAGTGATACTATAAATTATATTGCGCTTTGGGAAAAGACAAAAAATTGTAATAACGAATAATATTACGTAATTTCAAACTCTTTTTTTTGGGCTATATCTTGAAAACGACTTGAGGTGTCTTAAAAAATTTATATTAATTCTCATATCTATTAATGCGTGAAAGGCGTGTATTTTTTTTTTCATCATCCTACCGACGTATTGTTGAAAATGTATTTTTTTTCGGGACTGTACGCGCTCTTGATATCGCTCTAGTTTTTCATTTTTTTTTTGTCCATTAATCGCTGACCCCGTTAGAAGAACGGTACAACAGTAGACTGACAAATAAAACCAATAGTAAGAAGTAAGTGTTGCTAATTGTGAGACAGTACCCTTTCAGAAGTGTGATCCCTCTTTTCTAGTGGTCATTGAAATTGTTCTAGGTGCAAAATAACGTGTAAGGCTCAATGAGGATTTGTAAATCGTAATTACATACCTGTCCCATTGTTAAATTAGAAATTTTCACGAAAGACCAAATTCTTTTGCTCAAAGTGCAATAAATGATATTCCAACAAAAAATCAATATACAGTTTACGAGGGACAAGCGTTAAATCCATGGGTGTTAAGAATTAATTAAATTTGTTAAATAAATTGATTAAAAATGAATAGTTGCCTAAAATAGAAACAATCAATGAATCTCGTTAGAAGGATCCATTTGATCATAAAATCTAATCTAACCCAATATAAGTTTGTTCTGTCATTAACAGGATTAATTAGTCACCTACAAGGCTCACGCATTAAGTTCGACTGTAAGGAAAAAAAAAGTGCACCCCTCGATAGGGGTCGGGTAGCAAAATTGTCGAATTTGGGAAAAAAAAAAAAGAGAAAAGGGTCTAAGCTCGAAAATAGGATTATCCTTTGACTATAGAAATACGCCCTTATGACTGTCATAAAACTGTATACTGTTGACTATTTATTGACCCGGTTGTTGACGGGAACTACGACCGCCGGTTCTAATTGCCAAATAGCCTGCACGAGAGTGTACCGATTGTACTTGTACCATTGAAAAGCAAAATATAAGGCCCCGTAGACAAGGCCTCGTAGAAGAGAACTCAGTACTGTCCTAGGAAAATCCAAAAGGATGCCCGAAAACCACGTTGAAAAAAAAGGTGGGGCCCACTCCCCTCCAATCAGCCCTGAACGAAATGAAAAGTTGGACAATCGCGTTATTCCGAAGTTTGTTTCGGTTCTCCGTGCCCAAGAAACCCTGAAGGCGAACGACCCTGTGTTCCTAAAGGAGCGTTAAAATTAGACGAACAATGGCCCGTACCATGTCGTATAACGACCGTTTAAATAACGAGATTACTTTTGCGAAGAGACTTATTCTATGCAAATATTAGAAAGTGTAGTTTTGAAAAGGGGAAGCCCTAAACTTAAGGGTCTCTCTTGTAGGTCTCTTGGGACTCTTTTCTCGCCCTATGTCCTTCCCTTGTCCCTCCCTCCCCGTGTCGCCCCCTTTATACTTTTACCCAAACTGTCTTTTGAGAACAAGGCGTGACCATTTTTATTTGTTAAACTTCAATCGGCCATTCGACTTGGTATACAAATCTTTATTTAGCTTAAGTGAGCTCAGAATGGAATCACATTATTGGCCGTTTTCAGTCTTTGGCTGTTTCGTTCGAACCCATAACGGTTTCAATGAAACGTGATTCAAAATAGCGTCGGTGAATTTTCAAATCAATTAATCGCATACTCGAAATTGAGGACTTTGAGGTGAGAATAATTGAATTTGTGAAAATTGTCTGTTTATGTTGCTCGGGTCATTCGAGCAAAATCGCATGGGAATCTTTACGGAAATGACCAATAAACCATTTATGGGTTGGCTCTCATAATAAACCAAACAGCCATAAATGTGACATATTAAAGTTATCCCTCCCCCGTCTCCGCGTAGCAAAGGTATAATATTATTGAGCAAAACCTTTATTGCTCGCTAGTTGACTTTTTTTTCTTTGCTTACAGAACAGCCGAGTTATTATGAGGGGCTCCGTTAGCTGGACAAGATGGTCGGATGGGATCTGTGAATTGAATGGTGTAGAAGGCATTGGTCGTTCCCCTCGTCCCCAGTGCCCCAGCATGTTTGCCAATGTTATCCGAGATGCCAGTGACCGGTCACGAATCGACGTTATTCATCCACCCTCTTCTTTTTTTATTCCTATTATCTTAGTTAAGTGATAATTTTGGTAAATTAAAAAAAAATTACAGGTTCCACCCTATCGATTTTATCAGCCTCACAGTCCATCGACGAGATGCGGGAACAATTGTTTGGAATGCTCTGAAAAGGGATTTCGAGAGGTCGCACAATAGTCGGGCACAGACTTCTGTATAGGCAGTGTAATATCGATAGGGAAGGTATAGCATAATGCGTATTGCGTATACGCCGTATATATACAAAGACAATGAAATGATTCACGTCTTTCTCGAGTCTACGAAAATTAAACGCGGCTCGAGTTTTATATGTGTGAGCGAGAGTGACTGACTGGAGGGATTGTTAGGAGGGTGACTGGCTTGGTGTTAGTCCCCCACTTCTATTCCACGTCAAGACCAATTCGCATTACTACGATTCCTACGCACGTGTTTGTGCAGCAGCACGCGCAAGCATAGAATATAACGTATAAAGAGTCCTTGCCACTTTGCCTAAATGGAATATGAAAGAGAGCCTAAATGGATTAAGCATTATCAAATTTATTAATTAATAATAACAATCCTGTTGGTCAATTGAAATTCATTTAATTTATCTTTATGCGTATTATCCTAATTTGCATTTCCTTATGAATTATCCAGAAACGCTTGTGAGCGACGTACAAAAATTAATCTCACCTCAGTTGCCACTTCTCGCCGCCAGGGGTGCTGCCGTATCAATTTCCTTACCTTTAACGTCCCTATAGAAGAACCAGGCGAGGAGTAATAATTGTCAAGAGAGGACGAACGTGTTTACCATGAAAATCCGTGTCTCCCACTCCCTCAGGAAGAAGCTTCACATCCAGTCATCCCCATCCGCAGCATCCCGGACGATAATACCATTAATCATAGCCTCGTGCATCCACCACCCTCGTAAGATGGTTTGGGTATCTACCACGAGCCTTGCTCGGGGATCTGTTATTCCGCTTCTTGCCTAATAACACCTTGTTATGTATTCTCGCGTAATAATATCACACATCTTGTTATCGCGTTGACGCGTGTACACACGTGTCAAGATATACGGGATTTGTGTATAAATAGTCAAGTACCTGATAATACGATCCAATCATCAAGAGTCAATAGTGTCTCTATGGGGATGACTATATAAATTTGATTTTTTGTTATTAAATAAAAACAATAGGGCTAGACAATTTTTTAGATATCAATATTTTTATTGTTTTATTGTATTCGCATAAACTTATATAACTGGCTATAAATAACTGAGTACAAAACATCACGAGGGAGACAATCTGCCGCTAATTCCAATAAGTAACATTGTAACCGAGTTATTATTCATCCGTATCGTGTTCCATATTGACCCTCGAAAGTGTCTCTAATAAAATATCATTAAGCACATCATCGATCATCGCCCCAGCTACGGGAACGGAGAGAAAACGTCTGCTACCCCGGTATCACAACCTTTATGGGACTCTCCCATAAGAGCCCCGTGTACCCCATAAATGCGGAACACCCTCGTATTTGTCCTACGGCCAATACCAGGCGCTTACTCCATGACTCTATTTTCTTTTGAATCTCCCGCCAACGCAATTGAACATCGCCTGTGCACAAAGAGCGTACTTAGAAAAAAAAAATGCGAATACAGACTATTTGAAAGGGACAGAAATACCTTCTTTTTTTATCCCGCTTTGAAAAAAAAAAAAAAAAACGCACGGACGATGTTATCTACTTTTGATTTTGCGGTATACGAACCACTCGTGGAAAGGACCCCTTTGGGGTTTTCATGCGTGAGGGCAAAGGTCAATGCGCGCCCGGTCGCACTCGACACTGCGAAACGTAAGAACGTTCGGGTTATAATGGCGTTTAAAAAAAAAGAAGGAGAAAGAGGGGAGGGGAGGGATGAAGGTAAATAAAAGAGAAAAATGAAAGAAGGTCCTCGAGTATACTCGCTACCCATTATATTACTTTAACCCTGTAGAATCTTGACTCGCGACGCCATTTCGAAGTGGCGCAACCGTTCAAATTTAACCCTCCTCTCCTTGGCTGAGCATCGATACTGAAAAGAAACATTTGTATGTACCTACAGAGCACTTCAGGACCCTCTGCCCAGACTGTAGGTTTGTACAGTCTATATAGCTAGATTAAAAAATACATACTTTGAAACCACTCGTAATTTTACATACCTACGTGAAGTTGTACTGTCGGTAACTCTATGGTATCCATAGAGAATTTTTTTTTAAATATTACTAGGCCTTAATACCGCCTACTCGTCTACCACTCTTGTTACACTTTATGAAACAACGTGTAGCCACGTATTAGTACATACGTGTACTAATGGTGGACAGTGCATCCAGACATATGGAATTTCTAAGGAACCTTACTGAGGTCACTTGAAAGGGGTCCCCATTAAAAACGTACCCCTTTGACCCCCCGTCTATATTTCCACGCTCGAGGATAACCGAGGTTATTTTATATAAAAAAAGAATGTTTCTGGTAAAAAAAAAATCTTCGAAACGTCTCGACGCACCATTTATTCTTCCAGACAATTAGTCAATTAATAAGAGAATTATTATGCCGCACTCGACGCGGATCGCTGGTACGCAAATTGTACTTCGATTAACGCTCGATTATGTTCAATAGCGGGAAACAGGAACCCAAGGAAAAAAAAACAATAGCTGCCATTGTTACACCGAACGCGAAGCTCCTTTGCGCAAACGGTAAATTAATACAGTCAATGCCACCTATAACGAAACACGATCGGCCATTATCCACGTCGATAAAGGAGAGCCCTGCCAAAGGACGCGAGTAACTTTGTACACAGGCGACATATTGGAACTTACCTCGCTGTCAATTGAATCGTGTAGGTGTTTGGCAATGGTTTATGTTTATATTGTGCATCTACACGAATATTACTCGACTACAGTGTATCCAGTTTCTCTTCTCAAAAGTTAATTAGTTCTCGCAGTTCTACGTGCTCGCAAGGTTCATACTCGTGCGGTTTCGAGAAATTCTAGGCACTCGGTTAACATAAAATAACCTTAGCAAACCGCGTGAGAATCTCGTATATGTAGAATCTGTACCAAACGGCGACTCCATAGAGATTGCGCAGTGGTGATATAAGAAAAAATTTTAATACAATTTTTAATCGACATATACAACTTTTAGTGCTATATAGATAGAGGTATGAAATATTATTGACATATATTTATTATATCCTGTTAGTGTATACCTGAGGATTATTCAAATTTTCAGTATTGTGTCGTGGTGTAAGGCTAGTACAATGGCCCTAATATTTAATAAGCTTTTTATATACTGAACACCAGGTAGATTTTAACAGAGTATATTATTTTACTAGCATTGCACCTCAATGCCCTTTTCCTTTACACCTTTCGCCATTGTTCTGCTTTACCTCTTATTAACATTGAATTTTACTTTATACCGTTAGCAATGGATGTCAATGTGCTTTTCACGTTTCTCAAAACCGCGAACGTACTTCCCTCTGGGAGTTACTTTCTGATTGACATTTTTTTTAACCTCCTTTCTATTTCCACAGAAGAATCCACGAGCCAGGCGTAACCTCCGTGGGTGGACGAAAGCTTTGCCAAGAAGTTGGCAACGTGACACAGGCGTAAGTAATGCCAACTGAATAATTAAGAAATCCACTTAATACCCAATGGAGCTGCCACGAACAATGATGATATTCATCAAACGATCCTCGTCAAAGGTTCTGACGATTGTTCAACTTGCCCAAAATAGCAGAAGCCAAAGTCCTGCCAAAGGATTATTCTACTCTGATCTCACTCTCTGCCGAAGGAACAAGAGAGAATCGTAGAATGCTCAAGTAATCACAAACGAACAAAACAAGACTTTTCCATTTCCTAAGAGTAATACACGGTCCAAGGTTTTTACTCGTAGACGAAGGGGGGGGGATAGCTCCAAATCAGAAAGGGATGAATGGTTTGAAAGTTTTCCGAGAGACCGAAATCCGTTTGAAAGTCATCAAAAGAGGCGGTGGGGGG